AACTAGATCAGGCAACACATGGGGACGAAATGGGGATTAGTGAAACTATATAGATGCTTTGCGTATTTTGACCCTATTTGCCAATTAAACTTCAAATAATGGTATTATTTAGGCCATCTGCAGATTACAGCTCAACAGTCAGCACATCAAAATTCCAACATTCCCTCCTCCTGCCCTTTTCTAAGGGCGCTTCACTGGCAGTATTCAGCTATAAATACCAACACAGGAAAATAGCACTGAAAAGTTCCATGTGCAACTGACCAAAACAACTCTCACTACTCACATTATGTTAAAAAGAATTTAGTCAAGCAGTCAGTTAAGCATGACTAAAAGGCATACATTTTCAACTACTACGTTGCTGAAATAATTGGTTATGAGAAACTGTTATTTCCAAGACACAGCTGAGAAGGTCTGAACACACAAAATGAGATCTTTCTCTACAGTGCTATCTAATGCAAGGAGACAAAATCAAAGGGTAATAAAAACGGGCAAATAATTCAGAAGTCTTTTAAGTTATAAGTTAATTTGTTAACTTAAAATTTTATCAGTTTTCTCTCTGAATCTAGGAATATGTAAAAAGGAGGGTTAGCTACACACAACTGAACATGATGATTACAATGTCTGGCAGAAGGTCCTGAAAGGGGATTCAGTAACATCCTATCCTAGCATATACTACAAATAGATATAAAAGCTACATACTGATTTCACTAGACAAAAATTAAATATTTTTCTTGCAGTCAAAAAATGTCATGTACTCAGAATCTCTAATACTTTACATTCCCCACATTTAACTGTTGAATGTAGAGAAGGAAATTTTTGGTTCGAGTTCTTCCTATTTTTTAATTTCAATGACAAGCTTGCGTTAGACATAAATAAAAAGCTTATTTCTGTCATTTCTTGGCAACTGGGTAGATTATGTAAATGAAAGGTTCTTTTTACTATACAGCTACTTACTGATGGTGAAATATCATCATCATATTTTTTTAATTGATTCATGAATTCTAGATGTTTCTTCTCTTCCTCCAACTGAGCCACAGATTGCTCACTTTTCTGTAGTTTCTGTTGCGTATTGGCTAAAATAAGCCACTGATTTTCCTGGCATAGCCGGCGAACCTGAGCACGTAGTTTCTGCTTCTCCGATTCCACTGCATTTAAGTGATTTGACAAGGCCATCATTACCTAAAAAGCAGAAGGTATCACATGACATATCTCCTCTACAATGCAGTCCTGTATTTAACATAAAAGCATTTCATTACTGAAGACCTACGTCAGCGGTGAAATCTGGTAAACATTTCCTGGCATAGCCGGCGAACCTGAGCACGTAGTTTCTGCTTCTCCGATTCCACTGCATTTAAGTGATTTGACAAGGCCATCATTACCTAAAAAGCAGAAGGTATCACATGACATATCTCCTCTACAATGCAGTCCTGTATTTAACATAAAAGCATTTCATTACTGAAGACCTACGTCAGCGGTGAAATCTGGTAAACATTGAGATCTCTCATCTTTACGTAGCTGGTTCTCACTTTTCCTCTACACTTTTTTACCACTTGTTTAGCAAGAATTAACCTAGAATCATAGAATGGCCTAGGCTGGAAGGGACCTCAGATATCATTCAATCCAACCTCCCTGTCACGGACAGGGATGCCATTTCTCGATTAGAACCTAAAGGAAGTCTTTACTAACAATTGTCTTCCATAATGCTATCAGAAGTCAAAGTGTTTAGAATTCCCTGAAGATCATGAATAATCTTAAACTATAGCAAAATCAGGCTGAGAGAGTTGGGGCTGGAGAACAGAAGGAGCCCAGGAGACCTTACAGCGGCCTTCCAGTACTTAAAGGGGGCCTACAGGAAAGAAAGGGAGTGACTTTTTACTGGGGAGTAGTGACAGGAAAAGGGGCAACAGTTTCAAACTGAAAGAAAGTAGATTTAGATTAGATATTAGGAAGAAATTCTTTTCTGTGACACTGAGACACGAACAGGTTGCCCAGAGAAGCTGTGGATGCCCCCTCCCTGGAAGTGTTCAAGGCCAGGCTGAGCAGGGCTTTCAGCAACCTGGCCTAGTGGGAGGTGTCCCTGCCCATGGCAGGGAGGTTGGAACTAGATGATCTTTAAGGGGCCTTCCAACCCAAACCATTCTACAAGTCTATGAATTTGCACCAGGATTTAGGATTACTGAAATGGAAGTCTTTGATCCACTAACATGAAATGGAGCAGTAGTACTTTTAACTTGAAGGATCACGAAAATAAGCTAGGAACTAACACGAAGTTCTAATTTAGCAGTTTTAATGTTTATGGTTCATAATGAACACCTCAGTATAGTGATAATACTTCAAAGGGACAATTATACTACTTAGATCTAAATATGCAACTGAACACATAATTTATATAAGTACTTCAGATATATATGTATCACAAGCTTTAGTATTCAGATATATATATATATCACAAGCTTTAGTATGCAGATATTCAGTGTGTTTGAACAGTCACACTAAGAACAAAAAATACAATAGCCATAAAATCAGTCTACTTGGATTGGGTTTTTTGCTAAGCAAAGTTAAATGAAAAAGAAGATTAAGTGAAAGCCAAACACTACATACAGAAGATATTCTTCCTTAACTGTTTATGTAATCACCAACTGATACAGGTGGAATAGCTGACAGCAATCCCAGGAGGCACACCTTGTAAGAAATGGCCGCTGGTGATAATACAAACCTTCTTTTCGATGAGTTTGACATTCCCAAGTTCTTAGTGTTTCATCTCCTCTATGTCATGTGTCTTTGAAACAAAGTTACCTTGAAGTGTTTTTAAACTAAATACTTTATGTGAAACAGATGGTGTCCTTAGCTGCAATTTCAGGTTTCAAAAAAATACATTAAGCCTCTAGATAATGCTTTTCCCTCTAAAGCTAAGGGAAACTCCAGTTATGATTTACTAATACCAGTGCAAATCTCCAGACTTCAGTATCTACCTATTAACATATTCAAAACTGTTAATAATTTAAATTACTTGGCCTATTCAAACAGTGGCATTTGTAACATCAGAAAATATATTTAGCAAAGTTGTGATAATGCGGTCAACATATTCAAACAACATTGTACAAGCTACAATGGCAAACTAAAATCTTTTGTTACCATACTCTCTAGAATTAACTGAAAGTGTGCAAGAAGCGTAGACTTATCCAGTCTGAGACTAGTAGACTGAAGTGTAATGTATTTTCTAACAAAGGCAGTAAATGCAGACTTCTTGGCTCCTCGCCACCACAGTTCACAAATGTGAGGCAAGCAAGGCAGTAACACATGCAACTGAGGCTGCCGAATCCAACAGAGCCAAGAATCAGAACTAGCTTTTTCGAGTCCAAATGTCACATCAAAGTCAAGAGACATAAGTTACCCGTTCACTCAGATCTTCTCCAAACACCCCTTAAAGGTAACTCAGCCACTGCAATTTCACTCCATGTATCTCCCAGTATTTTTTTTCCAAAGTAAGACATCAAAGCTTGTACAATATACTAAGGCCTGCCAGTCTGTACCATAATGTCTACATTCCCAGGTCTGGTAACCCAAATTTGTTCTTCTCTCAGGCTTCAATTCACCATGATCCAGTGCACACAGCTTCCAGATCACCAAACAATGACAGCTCAATCCAGATGGGGAGACTGGGCACAGTCATAGACCAATGACATAAAGCCTATTAATACAGAGCTAACCCATCGGCATTTCCAACTCATTTGCTAACACTCTGCCATTTCATACTGCTGACTGTGCCGCATCACATTATTTTGGGTTTTTGACCTAGTACAAAATACCCTAAAGTCAGACTGCAAATACAGTCCTGACATCCTGACTAACCGTGCATCTTTTCACTCATCTTCTGCAGACAGTACCTTCATCAACGAAGACATTTCACAGAAACTAGCTCAGGGTCCTTTCTTTAACACATCAGTGAAATTTGTTCAGATGCTGTCATCAATTCTTAACCTTTTAAATGTTTTTAGATTCAGTTTTGGTTTAGTAAAACATTCAATAAACATTAAGAGATTGTTCAGCCACACGGAGCACTGTGAGCTACTATGAAGAATTTCAGAATCACGAGAATATGGCCAAGGTCAAAAGTTGGAGCAAAATCCTTTATTTGTATGTGTGTGAGACATCCCTAAGCAATAATTTAGAGCTAAAATGCTCAGTTCTTGAGCTGCTCAAACATTACCTGCCTAATGCCATGGAAAAGTCTAAACAGAAAGTAGCAACTGTCTCAGTTGCTTTAATACCAAATGCATGATTAGTTCTGTAACATGGCAAGACAGACAGTATCTACCTCTATTATTTTTTCCTTAACATACAATAACAAAATAAATGTCCCAGAATGTGATTAATATTAAGTCACACAAATATAAGTCCTCAAAGTCTGAAACGCTTTATTCCTACTGCAATTTTACCTGTGCTTCGCTAAGGCCGAGCTCCAGCATTTCCAGCGACTTTCGAATCATGTTTGATTTTTCTTCAACCAGATTAGTTTCATCATCTTTCTTCAAACATTTCAGTGTTTCAAGTAAGCTCTGTAAAATTGAATTGTGCTCATTCTTCAGTGCCTCTAGTCCATTAATCACTTGCTTAGTTTTGGCAATGATCTCATCTTGAGTAAGCTTCTCCAACTTCTCTTCCTTTAAATACACCATTGTGGACATGTTTTCATACATTCTGAAATGGAAGAGTACACTAGTTAAAAGTAAAATAAGCAATTCTCTACCTGAATAAAGCTTTCCTTTAAGAAGTCGTTAAAGCATATAAATTTGAAATGCATATTCAGCACACAATTACAGTTTTGCACAACTTTTACAATGTTCTAAGTCCCGGGTTTGAACAGTGTTTCAAATATTCCACTTTCTATTTTCAGATTTAATATTAACACTAATTCATAAGGCAAACAACAACAGAAAACAAATTATATACTAAAATACTGCAGAAGAATTTCTAAGAAGCAGTGAAAAAAAGAAAAGGCTACATCTACAGGACTCCGGTTTGTGCAAAGTTAAATTAGCTGATGTATAAAAGATATACTATAATAAACATAGATTATTTGCAGATTCCACTGACCCACAAGCATCTTTACACATATTCTCAAAACAGTGCTTGAAGAACTTGAAGAAATACCAGTCAACCCTCTAAAAGAGCTAATCAATCATTTGTTAAAAAAATAATCCTTTTCCATTCAAGAGGAAACACCATCTTCATCCTTTTCCAAGGACTACAAAAGCTGTTACTCTCATGTTTTGAAAATAACAACCAGCCCCTAAGATTACTTTAGGTTCATTATTGTGAGTCTACAGTTACATTCAGACATTTAATTGCCTACAGGTCTAGATGCAGCTTCCGTGAAGTTGCAACAGCTGCCTCATGCTGGAAAAAAGGGTTTGTACAACACAGCCCTTGCAAGTAACATGTCATGGTGCTATTTTGTCAGTACTTCATGCACTACATTAAGGCTAGCACCTTTCTGGATGTTTGTAAACACCCCTAACAAATGCAAATGAAGAACAAAAAAAGTTTAGAAACTCAGGGAACTTTATTATCACACATGCTCTTCTGAAATGACAAACCAGTATTAAATAATGTAAAAACACAAGCACGAGACACATAAATCACTCGATCCTTCCTAAATGTCACCAGAAAAGCATTCTGTAATGAAAATAAAGAATTGAGGAATTGCTCTTATACTTAAGATTTTCCAAAAGCAGTAGATTATCACACCTATATGAAGACACTTGTGGAAGCCTTGATAACCTAACATTTTAAATTAATTAGATAAACCGTATTAAAACTTTGTACAGAAACAAATACAGTTTTAGAAGAACACAAAAAAAAACCCCAAAAAATTCACCACTTAAATCTTGAATAAGAGTGCTATCAGAAACATGCATATATGCACCACTTCCTGATGACAGCCAAAGGACGTCCTCCTACGCTCTTGTATTACACCAAAAAAAAATTAATTTGCTTTTTCTGTTTATATACACTCAAATATACTCTCCGTTACGATCTCCTGCAACATGATGCCTTAAAGGCGCACCCATGTGTCACAAGAGCTGTACACTACGCTGATTTATTTTGGAATAATCTATTATCTGAAAACACAGATATTTTGGGGAAGCAGTCGATCTGCTTCTACCACAGTTTAATACAAGAACTTTGCATTCACAAATATGTTTAATACGGAGCATATACATCTGTATAAACTATCTGATCCAGCACAGTGTAAGAAATCAACTCACCAAAACCTGATAAGTGGAATGGTATTTACACATTTCCTATTTATCACTTAAGAAGTTTTAAAGCATATACTCTCTAAAATTCATAAAAATTAAATGCGGTTTTAATGGGAGCCAAATTTATAAACAAATGCTTCTAACATGCACAGTCATATAAGAAATTGTTATGGATTATGCTCACTTCAGCATACAACTCATGCAAATAATTACTATTGGCAAGGTGCTTTTATGCTTTCAATTAACAATTTCCATCCTGCATGTAAAGAACTGAACCTTTGATCATACAGAAATACAGTCAGCAGAGGACAGCTAATGAATAGGAGCTGGTGTCAACTCAAAAACTACATCAAGATATAAACTGATTGGAAGGTCCACACAGCCTGGGAAAGGGATCCTCAAATTCCCTAGTGAAAACTATTGGAATTCTAATCTCTCCCACTGATAGAAAAAGTATTTTTGAATAGGTTTCGTCGTGTCTCTGTTTAAATGATCTCTGCATAAAACACTATAGAAAATTCGGACAATGTTTTTCAGAGGTTTATAGATTGTGCTTGGGAGAATAAAACGCAGGAGGACAGCAAATGTAATTTATCATGCTATTATATCTGGTTATTTGTAGGAGTAAGATAAATAATATTTAATATATTTTAAGAGTAGCATGGAGGTGTGGTACTGTTTCCAAAGGGGTTTATCTGTTCATAAAACAAAACCAGATTTGAATATGTATTGATACAATTAGTTTTGCATACTCTGAGGAAGCAAACCCCATAATACAGGAAGCAAAAAAGTTAAGTTTGTATGCAGGAAGTTGACATGCATGTATACTGAGGAAAAGAGATAAATTTTATCATGCCTTTCTACTGTCACTTTACAAAAATGTTCTTTCTTCCTCTACTTTTTACTCACAGGGGAAAAAAAAAAGGCCCAGTCAAAAGCTTCTTAAGGTCCCATCAGTTTTATCCTGTATGCACTCCACTACACTCTAAATTCTACCTTTATAGGGCAGGAATTCTAGATTCAAATACTAATGTTCAATACAGTGTACAACTGAAAACAAAACAACAACAAAAAAAAAGATACACAAAGATTTAACAGGAAAATAGAATTTTGGATGAGAGAAAAAAATTGCAATGCAGACAGAGTTATAGACTATCAAGTCAGCTTAAGCAATTTACATAATATATTAAATATGTGCCTCTGGAGATCTTGAGTATTACCTTCCTGATTTATTTACCAAAACATAAACTATGCTGAACTTACAGAAGTCACTTAACACTTTCCAGCACTTCTAAAAAAAACAAGCAGTTTTCTTCAAGCGCACCAAAATTAATGAACTTGGCCAGATCAACATAAAAAGCCCTACAACAACATCTGCTATACAGGCTTGTGCAGCATTTTATAACATGACGTCCGATCAAAGAAATGGATGGAGAACAGCAAGAATCTGAACCAAAGAGAGTATAAAGAAAACAGAGCCAAGGCTACAGTCTCGCAGTCATGTGACCACTGGGATAATCTCATCATATACAAACCACTTAAGTGGCTGCAGCTCTAATCACTTTAAGTATTTTGTTATTCATAAAACTTTCAAATCAACTGCACTAGCCATGCTGACACTGCAATCTGTGCTTACATTCTCCTGCACATATCAGAGCTAGCTACTTAAGCTCTTCAACTCATATTTAAGGATGTCTTAAACATAAATAGCTTCTCCTACTCAGCTACTTTAAAAAAGTGTCACTTCCCTGCAGATCACCTTGAAGAATTCTTGAGCCAAAACACATAATCCTATGAAAAGCTTCTTTGCGCAGGAAAACTTATCAAGGAAGAACGGTCTTCTGAGAAACCCACAAGATCTTTTTTTTTCCTTGACTAAAGATTAGCATGGGTCCTAAAGATAGATAAATAAATGAACAAACAAAACAGTTCTGATTTTTTATTTTTATTTCCTTTGTATCCCTAAGAATTTCCTTTCTTAGTACTGATGTTTTCACTATGTAATAGTCAAGTTTCAAGTACTAAAATCTTGGACAATAAAATTTTAATGTACCTAGGTCTGGTCACTATTGTTTTAAAATACAATTTCAAATACAATTAAAAAGCAAAAAAAACTGAAGAAATCAAACAAAAAAAAAAAGTAAAGTTTGTAAATGCCTGTGACAAGTCAAATTCTCCCTAAATTTTTTTCTTCTGAATATACAGGTAGCAGGCAGGATAGATGAAAATTACAGAATAATGTGTCTGCATACAAGAAAGAGTAAATAATCTTCCTAACAATAAAAGCTACTACAACGCTGGCTCAAGCCGTACCTGCGGGCCCTGTCATCTACAAGCACTGCAAATTCCAGAAAGATACAGTGAATACTAATTTGAGCTTTTCAAATCTCCAATATGTACCTACCACTTCACTGAATCATAACAATAATCGGTCTACTCAGCGCTTTTAACCCCAATTTCACTCTTAGTTCCTCCTTAATTAAATGGCAAGGCTCAGCATCCTACATCTGGCATGCGCTGCTTCATTTAGTACTAGCTGCAAATTATAAGTCATTAATTCCCTGCTCAGACCAAGACCACATGTCATTACATCAGAGAACGCATCACCTTGAAATACTACAAGCTCCTTTAACTGCTAATCTTTATAATGTGGAAAACTGCCTCAAAAACAATCCTCAGAAGATCACAGGCCTTGCAAGCACAAGAAGAAAGTCACCAACAAAGGCAAGAGATGAAGAAGAGTCTGCCGAGGCAGAGCAGCACCATGTCAAACGCGACGGTAACGCATCCCTTCCTAACGAGACAGCTCAGTGACACACACTAGTCCGAAATGGCAAGGATGAATCACCCAGAGATGTCTGTCTTATACTTAGAAAGGTATTTGTAAAAGGCCTCGGATAAGAAACACTCTAATTTCAATATATTGCTGTTATGGCTTACAGACAGAAATCTCCATATCTGAAAGAAAAATGGTTACTTGTATTTTTTTTTCACCTAAGATGTTAGTTTCTCTGTGAGGCTTTTTCTGCTAGCACAAGTCATTCCCATGTGTCAGTAAACTTACAATCTTCCTCTTTTTGTTTGACTCGCCCCACTTTTAATTAAGAGGATCCTTACACTCTGGAATTTTATTCCAATACATTAATCTCTAATCCCGCAAAAGAAATAGACTAGCTTTTTCCTCTTGACATATTCAGCACTATAGCTGAACTGCCAATGCTCTCTGTCACTCTTTTCATCATGCTATATTTGAATCCACATATCAACCTCTACAGAATAGGAAAACTGGAACTGCACCTGCAGACAGTGTCCTGTTGGAGGTCAGACTTAAGGTACGTTCACTGACCCAGTTCTGTAAACAGAATACTTCAGCACTTCAGTACTGCCTTGGGTTTCCAAATATGTGATCTCAAAAAGCATCCTCCCAATTTAGC